TTTTAAAATTTTCTGTTTTTGGTTTTTAAATTAAATTTTACGGTTTTTAAAATCCTAAAATTTCATATTTTTCAATTTAAAAAGCAAAAAAAGAAAATTTGAAAAAAAGCTCTCGTGAGGGACTCCGGAATTCGATTCTGAACAACTTTTGTATCCAGAGTTTTGTTTCAAAATGCTTGCTTCGAGCGAAACTAGCCATAAGGCTTTTTTCAAAATACTTTTTGCTCTAAAGTTTCCTCGGGAAGGTGAAAGTTAAATTTCTCCGTCAAACTTCATTTGGGAACGATGTAAAGTTTTTCTCCTTATACAAATTAATGTTCTCTATCGACCTGCGCTAGAATCAACTATTCGTATCAAAAAATGAAGTTTTTATTAAAATTTTAAAAATAGGGCAAAAAACCCGAAAAAATTAAAATTTTTTTTTATCAAAAACTATAAATTCGGGAACTGAAAGCTTTGTTGAGACGTATACTTCGAAGTGTCCTCCACAAACTGCTGGAAAAAAACGGGTGGGGAGACCCCCTTAATCGCAGCATGTCGGCGACTGTTTTTTATATCGCGATTAAGCATTGATTATTTTGAAAGTCGCGATTTCTCAAAACTTCTGTGACTAATCGCGATTAGTTGCCGATGTTGGGTTTTCCAGTCATTCACCGTTTTATTTTGCAGCTGATCAAGTATATAATAAACATGCATTTTGACGGCAATTGTTTCTTATAGTCGGTTTAATCTTTTCTTTTAGATAAATTTTTTGGAAGGCGCGTCTAGAGTGTTCTTCGTGATATTCTCAGAGCTGACTCGTTCTTTCGACGAAGGTCAACTTTTCAATCCAGGAACCCGATGAACAAATGGAGGTCTGGGTAGTGTCTCAAACCAATTAATCGGATGAAGAGGGTCAGAGTAGTCGGTACTATCATAAGAAAGTCATTAAAGTGCAAAACAAAGAAGAAAAAGCAAAATAAGAAATTTCTCATAGGTGGATTCGATCCTAGTGTCTTCTTTCTGTAAAAGAACTCGTCCGATTAGTCGCAACTGATCGTCGAAAGTTGCTAAAAAGTCGCAAAAGTATCGTCGACTAATTGCGACAAAGTATCGCAATAATCGAACGCCAAGTCATGTAAAAGTCTCCGATTTTTAAGCGATTAATATCACATGGGGTATGACTGTATCGAAAGGACTATCGAAAAAACGCATAGTGAGAAAGACACATATTGTAGAACCCTTACACAGGATTTTGTTTTTCAGGGCATTTGCAGTGATGCTTATATCTTCACAAAAACTCATCGGAAAATTCTGGAAGACGTCTCATTTTTAAGAGCACACTTTGTCCTATCAGACTATCTATAAAAAGAATTTTTAAATATATAGAAAAGGAGAAAAATATTTACGAACCTAAAAAATTGAGGTTTTTCAGGCGTTTAAGGAAAAAATTAAAAACTTCATAATTTTTTCAAGGAAGGTCACGAAGAGCTCGGAGCGGTCTCATTTTATAGCCCAGACTTTCCTCTACATTAGACTATGTTCAGCTCAAATTGGAAAGTTTTTTGCAAAAAAGACGGCATGGGAGTACCCTTAAAGTCATGCATACCTTCAAACGTATCACCGTGCTACTTTTTTTTATCGGGATTCATCTCATTTTTACACATTTCTCTTGTATGGCCCGGCAAATGAAAACGATCGATAGCTAATGTTCCCGTAATGCCACGAATCGTCACAAGTACGTCACCAGCACGCGGCACCACCGAATCCACAGTCACACGAGCGCCAGCAACGGCTCTCCCGCCACGCACGACTACCAAGGCCTTACGGGTAATAACAACTAGCGCAGGCACATCAGTCCCGTCAATAATCATTGAGTATGAGACGAAATCGGATGTCGAAAACTTCTTTTCTAAAATCTGTAACCTTTTGAACATATACGGTGCGCTCGAAGGACTGCTGCATATCATATTGCGCTTTATATGGATTGGGTGTGAAGATTCAAATGGCAGGATATAAGGTTGGGCAGCAGGTTTGCGAAAAACAGTTGTGCGAAACTCATTACCTAGGGATCTTTAAAAGTAGTGACGTGTACGTAATCTACTACATCTGCAGTTTCGTAAGTCAGTTTTATCCGTGGATGTTTACCGTCACGTTTTTGGAGTATTTCAACAAAGTCGAAGAGAGATCTTTTCGTCGTTAGGCATCTATCGTCTCGAAACCTCACATATATTTCTTTTTCGCATATTTAGCATATTTTAGCTCTTTAGGATATTTCGGACATTTCGGATATTTTCGCTATTCAGGACATTTAGACTGTTTAGGATATTTAAAATATTTCGGATATTTCTGTTACCTCGGCTATTTAGGATATTTAGGATATCTTGGCTATTCAGAATGTTTAGACTATTAGGCCATTGAGGATATTTAGACTGTTTAAGATATTTAGGATATCTTAGATATTAAGGATATTTACGATATTTACGATATCTTCGCTATTTAAAATATTTAGGCTATGTAGATTATTTAGGATCTTTAGAATATTTAGACTATTTAAAATATTTAGGATCTTTCTGGCTATTGAGGATATTTAGACTATTTGGGATATTTAAGACATTTAGGCTATTTTGGCTATTTAAGATATTTAGAACATTTTTAGGATATTTTGGCTGCTTAAGTTATTTAGGATATTTTGGCTGCTTAAGTTATTTAGGATATTTTGGCTGCTTAAGTTATTTAGGATATTTACGATATTTTGACGATTTAGTATATTTAGAATATTCAGACTGCTCAGGATATTTGGCATATTTTGGCCGTTTAGAACATTCGGACTATTTAAGCTATTTAGACTATTTAGGATATTTTGGCTACTGAGGATATTTTGGGTATCGTGGCTATTTAGGATAGTTAGACTACTTAGGGTATCTAGCATATTTTGGCCATTTAAGATATTTAGAACATTTAAAATTTAAAAAATATTATATAACATATTTCAGCTACTCTTTTCAGTGTTTTTGTGACACAAATAGTAAACAAAAATAAAGAAAAAAAAGTTTGATTTTACAAGCCAGTGAAAATTTTTAGGAGTGGTTCAAATATTTTTTGTGATTTTTTCAGATAAAAATGGATCAAGATTTAGAAATCAATGAAATATTTGCTAATATTGACTATGATCAGGAAGAAGATAGTGATACAAGCTCGTCGTCAGATGAAGAAGATGGAAATTTTAATTGGAGAAGTGATCATCATTTCAACCCATTTCAAGAGAAAAAACATTCTCTCACTTCTCACAGCTACCCGGCCTGAAAGGGTTAACAATAGTCAGTTGTGCAAAAACTGCACAATAGTTTTTGGAGTAATTATTCTTTTTCTCAGCCAGATAAAGTCGGTAAGACAAGAAATTTTCAGGACATGTACTTCGAAGTATCCCCTACAAACTGGCAATGTTAGAGGAAAGTCTGAATGAGGTAATACCTCATAACAAGATAAAATAAAGTATTTGTTGATATTCTGAAGTAGTTTGAGCCGATTCTGACTGAGTTGTGAATTTTTTAGCTCTGGGTGCAAATAGGCAAAAACGAATTATTTCATCCAGTATCGGTTTACACTAGGCTTCTGCAAAGAAACATTGCCACAAGATTCGCGATGGTTGAAAACCTCTATTTCAATAACTTTTGAGCTCGCTAGACCATAGCATTGAGCAGTCCTAGGGCGTTGTGGAAAATGCCTTTAGCTATCGAACCACGGTAAATGAAGATATCGATTAGATTCCGTTTTGCAGAGGGTGTTTTCTTTTATCTAACGACGTAAAAGAACAATAGTTAGTTTTCCAAATTTTTCCGTTATGCACGAGCTTTTTAGAGATTTCCTCAAAAACTAATTTTTAAAAATGTTTTGAAAAGCTTTTTGTGAAAACATGCTCTATGGACTGCTCTTTTCATATCTGAAAAATCCTTCGCTCTAGCTCTTTCCACTTTTGAGTTATTTAAAAAATGACCATGGGTTATTCTGTTTTTGGATGGACAATAGTTATTGGAATACTGTGTCTCCTTCATTACAATGGAGAACGAAAGCGGTTTCCTTCGGTTTTTTATTACTTTTCCAGACGCAGCTTGTTCGAGAATATGGTAATATAATAGCTTTACTAATCCAACTTTTTGCTGAGATTTTCTTGCAGAGAAAATCAAAAAATTTACTTTCTTACATCTACAACAGAAAACAGTTCTCGAAAACGAGTGACACCTATCACAAAAATGCTTTTTGAACGCCGTAGCCTTTTGAGCTGAAACTTTCAGGGTACTCCTAAATATGTTCGACCGTTATACCCTAGAATTTTTAGCCAGATCGGTCGATGCAACCTGTGTTGTGGCTATTAGCATACATGAACGGTTAACAATAATTTTTAATAGTATACAGAAAATTTGAAATGAACACTAGTAGAAGAGAAATAATTTTATTTTCATAAAATACGGCTGGAAAGCAAAGTTGTTGATTATGGTATTTTTCCGTAATAATTTGCGTGTGATAAAGGACACTTCCCGACACCTGTTCCGTACCATTCAGGAAAGTAAACATTTTCTTCATATTTAAATATGAAATAAATAAAGAATAAACTAATTTGTACACCAACATCCATAGCAATCGAAAATAAAAGAGCATATCGATTCCACCACCATTTTCTTATCAGCATGTGGAATATAAAACCCACAAGGAGCCACGATGGATAATTTGACATTTTTTGCAAATAGATAATCCCTATGGTTGTAAACATAATTGGGATGTGAATATCACTTAGAAACTTATTGTGACGATAAAAACGTGGTAATACCCAAAATAGTATTGGTAATAAAGCACCAGCTAAAATCAACCATAACATTCGGGAATAGGAAGAATTTAATCCAAATACATCGGATGGATCTAGAGTGATAAAAAAGCAATTTACTTGATCGATTTTCTCTCGATGAGTCAATAGAACAACAATTTTTTTGGGAATGTTCCATGTGAATTAGATGAGAACCGGAAAGTTCAACACGAAGAACTTTTAGCATCGGAGACCTGAGCACAGGAATGTTCAAAACCCAGAAAACTCAGAGTTAATATTGAATCTATTGAAGTAATTGTGACCCAACATTCGCATTCGTCGTCTTATATTATCACACAATAGTAAACGAGTGATTGCCGAATCATACATGCCTAGGAACAACGATACAGAGGTGTTTATTAGCAAAAACTAGTGATAAAAATTGGGTAAATTTTTTCATTTGTCGATCGATCCTTTATCGATCCTTATAATCGTTCAGATCTAAACATAGTTTTTGCTTTGTTGTACTGTTATTGGAAAGTACTGTCATGTTGAACAATTGATAATGTCAAGAGCATATTCCATCATAAATTTATGCTATCAAGTAACAAATTAATTTCTGTTCATTAAAGATCACTAATTTGATGAATTTTGCACCAATGATTACTTTTCATGATTGAATTTTACTGTTTGATTAAAGTGACACATACGATGACTACTTATTCGAGATCCAACTACTGTCAGCGCCAAAATACAAAGCTGGTTGCCATTTTTTGAATAATTTTTGATAGGAATCTGATAGAGACCTGCGGTTTCCGCTGTTCGATAGCCCAGACTTGAGCGGCATGAGATTTGATCGAGATATAAAGATTTTCATTTTTGCTAGTAACAGGCGAAAAACCGGTTCTTCACAAAAATGCCTGTGGCGAAGTTATATTCATTTCAACACGAAAACAGATGCTGTCACTATGCTCAGCGTAGTCGATTACCAATACTCCATGGCATTTCGAGATTCTCAGCGATGTCTCCTCGCAGATAGACACATGCTCAGGGAAACCGAGCCCTGTCCGAACGACGATAGCTGGAGAGCCGTGACTTGCATAATTTTGTAGATTAACGTCCGAACTATCTACGCATGCAAAAGAATTACTAGCACTGTATGTTAGTTTTCTGAGAATGGAGCTGGTTTTCCAAAGATCCTCTGAAAACCCAATGTTTGACATTTTTTCAAAAATTGTTCCGCTTGTGAAAAGTTCCGCTCAAGTCTTGGCTATAACCGCAGGTCTCCATCAGATTCCTATCAAAAGTTATTCAAAAAATGGCAACCAGCCTTGTATGCGCCTACGGTAGGTATACACCGGGTCGAGCTACTCGAAAATTAAAGTCTGCTTTTTTCTGATGGATGTTATTCTCAGGTCTCCTCATTAAAGAAGATTCCACACTTTTATACTGTTTTGCATGTTAACTTCATTTTACACTTTACGCTAGGGGTGTTAATTTAGTTTTATTTTTCATTTATAATAATGGATAAAACTAAATGAATCATTTATACTTAAAAAATAAAGATAAATTTTTCATTTATATTTAAAAAATAAATATAAATAAAT